TGCTGCAGGGCGACCTCACCCAGCCGGTACCTCGCGCCCTGCTGCTTCGCCACTTTTATACTTTCTGCAATTCTTTCGAAGTTCCCCTCGAAGTCCAGGGCCCACTGGTTCAAGCTGCATGCGCAGATTCTAATTATGCCCTCCGACTGCAGCGCGGGGGCCCCCGGGGGGCCCCCCGGGAGGGCCCCATAGGGGGGCCCCCGGGGGGCCCCCGCGGGGGCCCCCTGGAGGGCCCCCAGGGGGGCCCCCACGCCTACGGACCCAGGCGCCCCCCGGGGCCCCTCTTTGCCGTCGGGGGGCCCCGAGAAGGCGCCGTCGATGGCCCGGCAGGGGCTGGGGGGCCCCCCGAGTTCAGTGGGCGCCATGGGGTTGGCTGGTGCTGAGGCGGCGGCGGGGCGGCCCCTGGGCTAAATTGGCGAAGACAGAGAGAGAAAAAGGTGGAAACAAATGGAAAGTGGAGTTAAATTCAATAAGGAACTTCTTGGAATGGAAAAAGACCGCAGTCGAGGCGCGATCGCCTGCTAGTCTGCACAACGCCTGACGGGTCTTTCGCTGGAAGTTGAACTAGTAAAATCCGAGGGAATATTGAGGGAAACTGAAGATAATAAAGGGGAAATACGCGAGGAAAAGCAAATTTAGTCTAGTTTGAGCTTTTGAGCTCCTGAAAATTGTATTTAATTGGCGAGTTGAGATATGTAAAATGGCTTCGGCGGTCAGGCTCTGCGGAGCATGGAGTGTATGTACAGCCCGGCGAGTGTCTTGCGACATTCGCGCATTTCCGCAGCTTTTGCCGCCAAAAGAGTTTTAAAATAAATTAAAAGTAATTTTAAAGGTTCAATTCTCCGATATTTGGCTTAGAGCGGGGCAATTTAGAGCTCAAAGGCGCCCCCTGCCACGCCGCCAAGGCTCCGATTCAGGGATAGCCTTTGGCTCCAGTCCGGGTTTCTCGCCCTTTCTTTCCTTTTTAGACACTTTATTTCCAATTAAATTAAATTAAAAAGCCCCAAATTAATTTATTTCAGAGGAATTAATGCATGCACGCACGCACGCTGCGTTCGCCGCGGCGCAGAGAGTCGCCTCTTCCTTACACCTTTTGCAGTGCAGCAAAAAGGCCATTTCCCTTTCTTTTTATTTAATTGAAAACATTCAAATTAATAAAAATTGATTTGTTTGTTTAAAAGATCTTTTCTTTTATTCTTTTCTTTTATTCTTTTCTTCATTTGCCTCCAGCATACTCTGAAATGCTTATTTTCATTTATTTTATTTCCCTCTTGTCTCATACATTCGCGAGTTCTGCTGCAGCACAACTCCACCTAGCCTTCGGGCCCCCAGCGGAGCTCTAAACCCTAAACCCTAAACCCTAAACCCTAAACCCTAAACCCTAAAGACCGAAATGATAACGCTGAGTTGGAGCCCAAGGCGAGGCTTCGAGCCCAAATTAAAAGCGCCCTCGCTGGCCCGAAAGCCCGCGAGCAACCCCAAGCCCTAGCCCCAAACCCTAAACCCTAAACCCTAAACCCTAAACCCTAGAGAGCTGTGACAACAAGGTTGTGGCCGTAGCGAGGAGTCCCCATTGACGGCCCTTGTCTCCATTCATTTGTTTCCGGATTATAAAAACAAGTGCTGCTCAACACTTCGCCGTCCTGGCCCCCCGTCACCTGACAACGCAAACCCTAAACCCTAAACCCTAAACCCTAGACCCTCGATACCAGCATAGAATCTTTGACAAAAACCGCGGCGAAGTCCATCCTGGGCCCCGGCATGGAAGCTCCCCCCTCCTCCCCCACCGCCCGCCGCCAAACCCTAAACCCTAAACCCTAAACCCTAAACCCTAAACCCTCGATACCAGGATGGAGTCTTTCACGAAAACCGCCGCGGAGTCCATCCGGGGCCCCGGCATGGGGGCCAAAAAGGCCCACTGGCCTCCTTCAGGGTTTAGGACTTCGAGGGAGTTGTGGATTTGGTGGTCTGCATTAATCCCCCCCATTGCGTAGAGGTGGTTTGCGCTGGAGACTGCGCAGCCCGCGCTCCGCACCTGCGCCAAACCCTAAACCCTAAACCCTAAACCCTAAACCCTAGACCGGGGGCCCGGGGGCTGGGCGCTGCCCGCAAACCCTGGAGGCTGCGGGGTGGGCAGTGGGCGGGCAGTTGGGAGCTGCGGTGGGAGGGGGGCTGGAAAGGGGGACGGGGGACTCAAACCCTAAACCCTAAACCCTAAACCCTAAACCCTGCTTGCAGTTGCTGAGTGGCAGCTGGAGCTGCGAGTCCCCCGCAGCAGCTGCAGCGCCCACGGGCGACCACGAGGGCCTGGCGCTTGTCGCCTACAGTCAGCGCTTAGGGCTTAGGGTTTAGGGTTTAGGGTTTAGGGTTTAGGGTTTGCATGCCTCGATCATGGGACACGCGAGGGGCTGCCACTTGTCCATGCGGGGTTCGTACACCTCAGCGGTGCGAAGTCTCTCTCCTTTTGTGCCTCCCAAAACCACCAAAGTGTCTCCTGAATGAAAAAAGTAAAAATAAATAAATAAAAATAAATTAAAATAAATAAATAATAAAATAAATTTACTTCATCTTATTTAATTTCCATCTCGTGCCAAACACTCCCTATTTGCTGCCTCTTCCCGCTGCTCCACACCAGCTCATCTGCTGCAGCAGCAAAAGAAGCAAAAGCCCAGCAGCAGCAGCAGCAGCAGCAGCAGCAGGAAGGCGAAACCGCTGAAAACTGCAGCAAAAGAAGCGGAAAAAGGGGAAAAAGAAAAGGGGAGAAAGCGTGGATTAGAAAGGGAGAAAAAGGGGAAAAAAGATTCAAAAAAGACTCCAAAAAGATTAAAAGAATTAAAAATAAATTAAAATGACTCGCCGTGAGTGCAGCACATCGCGCTGGACCTGGGGGCGAGCAGCGGCGCTGCATGCATCCAGTGTTTGATTCGGGTGTCTATACACTCCACAGACGCTAAAATAGAGTTTCCGTCAAAACCCCCAATCACAAAAATTCTTTTTTCCAAATTTGCTGCGCATGCATTTCTGCGGGGAATTAATAAAGGACTTCCGGGGAGCCAGAGACTGAGGAGTGCGTCGTAAACCTCCACGTCGCACAGCGCCTGCGCAAACCCTAAACCCTAAACCCTAAACCCTAAACCCTAAACCCTAGCCAACCCTAAACCCTAACAACCAGCTGCGCATGCATTTCTGCGGGGAATTAATAAAGGACTTCCGGGGAGCCAGAGACTGAGGAGTGCGTCGTAAACCTCCACGTCGCACAGCGCCTGCGCAAACCCTAAACCCTAAACCCTAAACCCTAAACCCTAAACCCTAGCCAACCCTAAACCCTAACAACCAGCTGCGCATGCATTTCTGCGGGGAATTAATAAAGGACTTCCGGGGAGCCAGAGACTGAGGAGTGCGTCGTAAACCTCCACGTCGCACAGCGCCTGCGCAAACCCTAAACCCTAAACCCTAAACCCTAAACCCTAAACCCTAGCCAACCCTAAACCCTAACAACCAGCTGCGCATGCATTTCTGCGGGGAATTAATAAAGGACTTCCGGGGAGCCAGAGACTGAGGAGTGCGTCGTAAACCTCCACGTCGCACAGCGCCTGCGCAAACCCTAAACCCTAAACCCTAAACCCTAAACCCTAAACCCTAGCCAACCCTAAACCCTAACAACCAGCTGCGCATGCATTTCTGCGGGGAATTAATAAAGGACTTCCGGGGAGCCAGAGACTGAGGAGTGCGTCGTAAACCTCCACGTCGCACAGCGCCTGCGCAAACCCTAAACCCTAAACCCTAAACCCTAAACCCTAAACCCTAGCCAACCCTAAACCCTAACAACCAGCTGCGCATGCATTTCTGCGGGGAATTAATAAAGGACTTCCGGGGAGCCAGAGACTGAGGAGTGCGTCGTAAACCTCCACGTCGCACAGCGCCTGCGCAAACCCTAAACCCTAAACCCTAAACCATAAACCCTAATGCCTACTTTACTGAAAGCTAGACGCTCATCTGTGAAGTCTTGACTCTATTTCCAAGAAAAGAGAGTGACTTTGCAAACCCTAAACCCTAAACCCTAAACCCTAAATCATAATCCCTCAAACGAAGACTCTATACTAGAGCTAGAAAACAACAAACTTTGGTTCCTACACCCTGTAGCAAATTCTGAACCTTAAACCCTAAACCCTAAACCCTAAACCCTATATTCCAAACATAAGATAGAGCCAACCCTCAGCCCTCCTAGCCCCAACAACGCTGGACCCCCCAAGCCCAAACCCCAAACCCTAAACCCTAACCCCCCAAGATTAAACCCTGAACCCTAAACCCTAAACCCTAAACCCTAACCCGAAACCCCAAGCCATATCCCCCAAACCCTAAACCCCGAACCGTGGCCCCCAACCTCCCGCCCGCAACCCCCAAGCCGCAAGCCCCAAACCCTAAACCCTAAACCCTCGGCCCTGACTTTGTAGTCGATGTTTTGTCCGCCGCAGACGTAGATTTTGTTGTGTGCTGCTGCAGCAGCAGCATACGCTCTTTCAGTGTTTAGAGGGGGCCCGGGCCTCCACTTGAGTTTTTGGAAATCCAATACTTCAAAAGAATTTAAATGATTAATTCCATCATTTCCTCCAATTGCAAAAGTTAAAGGAAAAGGAAAAAAAGAAACTCCAAAAAAAGAGGACTCCACACTCAACAAGTCGCTCTCCACGCTGTCTCTGAACACCCACAAACCCTAAACCCTAAACCCTAAACCCTAAACCCTGGGGGCTGGAGATGAGTGGAAATTGAGAAAAAACAAAAAGAAAAAGAAAATAAAAAGTCAAAGAGGCCCCACAAGAAATAAAATAAAAAAAGAAAAACCCCAAAGACAAACAGCAGCGAGTTCTCTGCCCCAGCGAATATATCAGGGTTTAGGGTTTAGGGTTTGGGGTTTAGGGTTTGGAGTTAGCAAGAGGCAAAGAAAACGGCCGGCAGCCAAAAATGCCGCAAATGCTGAAGAGTAAAAATAAAAAAACAGAAAAATAAAAAACAAAAACAAAAACGAAGATAAAAACAAAAATAAAAATAAAAGAACAAATTAAAAGAGAAATTAAGAAACAAAAAAGAAAACCAGAAAAATAAAATCAGAAAAATAAAAACAGAAAAAGAAACAAAAGCAAACCAAACCCAAACAAAAAAGCAAAACAAAACAACCAAACCAAATAAACCAACCAAACAACCAACCAAATTAAACAAATTAAACAATTAAACAAATTAAACAATTAAATAAATAGACAAATAAGACAAATAAGCAAACAGTTAATAAATAAACAAAAAATAAACAAATAAGCAAGCAAATAAAGCAAACAAACAAAATGAACAAACAAACAAACAAACAAAATAAACAAATAATAAATAAATAATAAATAAATAATAAATAATAAATAATAAATAAATAATAAATAAT